CCCCTCTAGACTTGTGCAAGAAAGCAGTAATTGTACCAATACCAAGGAACAATGGAGATTTTCGTCCCATATCTTTGACCTTTTTTTTAGTAAAACGATGGAAAGAATAGTAGTAAACAGGTTGTTGTATAAAGTGGAAAATCTCTTGGCTCCCAATTTATATGGATTTATGAAAGGGAGAAATACTACAGACTGTGTTGTAAAGTGTTTGAATAACTCCAAGGCTACATGCAGAACTTTTGTTGACTTAAAAGGGGCCTTTGATGGGGCAAATAAAGACGTCATACTTGAGGAATTAATTAATTTAGGGGTTTCTGAGAAGTTGCTGAAATGGATCGTGGATTACTTGAGTAACAGAATGGCTAGAGTATGGTTTCAGGGTTGGTCCTCAGAAGAAAGAGTTGGGGACCCCACAGGGAGGTGTACTTAGTCCAACTCTTTTTAACATATTGACTCGCTACGAATTTCCTGGAGACACACAGGTTATAATATATGCTGATGATATACTTATACAGTGTAAAGGTGTGAGAAACATGCAAGAGGCTTTAGATGCATCGAGTACACTTTGTTTAGAATGGGCCTTGTAATTAACAATGAAAAAACTAAATATCAGGTCTGAAATTATGAACAAGGGGATTTATTTTTGAATGGATTAAGGCTAGAAAAAACTTTGTTTACAAATACCTTGGGATGTACAGTCAGCAAAAAATATTCTTCACCCCTTGGTCTGATGGCCTCTGCAACGATCACTGACTGAGGCCATGTTAATTTGGTAACGTTGGTATTCCTGGTTGTGTGATGCATTGTATAACCAGTATGATGTATTTTTTTATATTACATAGTTAATACAGAGAAATTAACAGGAATCACCCGCGTAAATGAATATTTTCAGAATTCTTGGTCCGGTGTGTCATATTAAGAACATAAGAACATAAGAACATAAGAATGGAGGAAACTGCAGCGGGCCTATTGGCCCATACTGGGCAGTCCCGTTTACACCCAACCCCTATTGCTCATATGAGCATCCAACCTGTACATTGGGTATAAGTCCACCAGTAAAGTACGTGAGATGCAATACCTGGAGAATGCATGTAAAAGACGTTTAAGACCTTTAAGAGCTTGGGCATGGAAGGGAAATGGCGCAGGTATTCCTATTTTAAGGTTGGTTTATATCAGTACTATACGTTCAGTTATTGACTATGTAGCTCCCATCCTTATAATGTACAGTAAGAAAGTTATTCAAAAGATTGAAGTGATACACAACGAGGCCATGAGAATTATTTTAGGTTGTTAACGGAACACCAGAATTGAAATAATGAGATTGGAGTTAGGTCTACCAAGTATAGAAGGAACTTGCTGTAGCCGCTACTCTTAGGACCATTAGGAAAGGAGGAGACAATAGGTTGTCCCGTACAATAATGAGCTTAAATGAAAGAACAGATCTTGGCATTGTATCCAAGTATGCAAGGCTATTGTATAATATTATGATGGAGTAGATAAATATTGCACTTCATTACAAACTTATTTAAGGTTTAGACCATGGCAGGAAGGATGCATTATAGTAGATATTTTATAGCTTGAGGGGAAAAAGATGATTGGCATTCCAGTTATTTACGAAATGTCTTTTTAGAGAAAATAAATAAGTAACGGTCAAGCGGGATGTGGTGTTTTTATAAGGGAATATTTTATCAATGAATGTTATGCAGATGAAACAGTTTGTAAAAGAATTAGTGATAACACCTCATCCACGCTGGCTGAACTATATATTTTTGTTGATAGTGAAGGCGCATTGGAAGCTTTCCATAGTAAAAATCCATGTAACTTTCATATTAATATCTGTAACGACTGATCATAATAATGCAAGAAATGGAATGTACTGTGCAGTTTGTATGGATTCCATCACATGTGGAGATTCATTTAAATGAAATGGCTGACAAATTTACCAAAAACGCTGCAGAAAAGACGTATAAAGATACTGTTAGCAATGTAAGTATTAGAACGATAAAGAGGGAAATTAAAAGAAAAAGAGAGGAATGGGAAAAAGCAAGAAGAGAAGTGATTGTCATGTGTAGCGAGAGTTGTCAGCACTATTTGTATGTCTTATAAAACACCAATGTAACTTACGGGACTAACTTACCATCTGTTGACACTGTTATAATGAGACTAAGACTGGGCTACAAATATTACTGGAGGGGCGGGTCAACTGTGTCGTCTGAGGGATGCCCATACACTACAACATTATGTATTAGGATGTGAACAAATCCCACCATACAGGACAGCGAGATCACTACTTTAGAGAAACAAGGTTAAAATAATTCTTGTATAAAAATTTTACTCCAGGGTTAAGACCGTTAACTTTGGCAAGATTACATGATCTCTTCTTTTAATGTAATTCAGTGTTCATGTCAAAGTTAACTATTTTCTGCTGTAAAGATAATTCCTGTATTGTATTAACATTTATAACTGTCCTTAAGCCCCAGAAGGTGATGGCAAAGATGCGGGTGGGAGCAGTATACTGCCCTGTCCTTTTGATGTAATAGTTTTTTAATGTCACTAAAATATTTCAATTTCCATTAACCATGTGCAAAACAAAGATCCAGCACTGAAAGAAAAAGGCGTGAAAGCAGACAGAACTCTTTCAACGTTTACTAATTTTAAAAGATGCTGGTCGTCATGTTGACCTCAAATCCTGTCATGAACTGTCACCAATGTCTCTTTCTCTTGCTAACACACCAAGACTATTACGACTGACAAATAAAGCAGTCCTTGGAGAAATTCTTGTCTGCTACAATTGTTGAAAAACAATTTACACTCACAAATCTCAAAACATGTGTCATCACTGATGGACAAGATCTTGTTCAAGCGATTGGAAAATGAACAAATGTCAAAAGTTTTGGAGATCTGGCAAATATGTTCACAACATCTGTGTTCAGTCACTTCAGCTATACATGTTCTCTAGTTGATGTGGTCTTTGATCGCTGTGAAGAAAAAAGTATCAAAGATTCAACGCACATTCACGGGTTGGGGAAAAACAGACCAATCCGGCAAAAGATTGAAAAGAAGGATGTACCCTTACCAGTAAATTAGTAACAGTTCATTGATCTCCCAGAAAACAAACAAGACTTGGAAAATTTCTTGAACGTGGAGCTCATTACTCAAGTAAAATCAACCTTGCAGAATTATGAAATTGTAGCATCTGGGAGATTCCTTAAAAGGACTGCTGCCGACATACGAATAATCCACCATGCCAAACCATTAGTTAGTGAGGATATTAACGAATAGTCGTCAACTCAAGAGACACTGATGTCTTTGTTCTGTTACTACACTTCACGAGCCCAGTGAACACAGAGGTTTGGTTTCGGACTGACACATCGAAACGACGAAGCTAAGTTGCTGTACACAACGAAGACATTGACCCTGTTCTCCGCAATAATCTTCCAGGTTTTTATGCACTAACTGGATGTGACACAGTTAGTGAGTTATGTGGTTATTGGAAAAACGGCAGCCTGGAAAATATTTAAAGCAGCACTGCACTTTGCTAAATGACCTCGGGCTTGGTGCTCTCAATGAAACGACACAGCAAAACGTAGAAGAGTTCGTCTGCAGGCCCTACTCCTTGAAAGAAAATGACACAAAGATTAATGATATTCATTACAAGCTGTTCGTCAAAGGTACAGAGGAACCTGAAAAATTGCCACCAAACCATACATTCCTGCATTCTGAGCAGTGCTTGATGTCCTTGTTAGGGAAGTCTGTAGCCGTATGTGAGTATTGGTAGCAGTTCCAACATGGAGTAAGGGGGAAGAATTCCTCCTGCTCCACCTGGCAGTAGGAGAGACAAAGTCCCTCCTGGATTGCTCTTTGGGCCATGGCTATTTCTGTGAATCTTATTTTGAGCATGGATGGCAGTCTGGGCAGCTTGACCACTTCCTCCACCTTGGCCCATTGGTTTCTGTGTTCTATGTCAGATACCAATTGCTGTTCACTTGCTTCCTCGGTGATCGCTTTATCTAGTCGTTTGACTACAATTGACTTCCTTGCTCGGAGTTGTGGGGGGACTGCAACTTCAGATTTTGCAGACTTGAGTTTTCTTGTGCTCTCGCTCGATAGGAGTAAGTCTACACCATTCTCGGTCTGGCACAGGGCGATGAAGGAGTCCTTGGTCGTGATGAGGTTAGATATTTTGATGAGTAGGGTTGCACTGAGGAGTCTTGCTAGTTCTGCTTTTCTTTCGTCAGTCACGCCCCCTTCATGGGAACGTATCCTTACCCGGTGTGTCATCATTTCGAGACTCCTAGCCTGCTCGCGGGTGCTTTTATACCTCATCAGATGCCCCTCGAACATCTTAGCACCACCCAGAGACGCCCGGACGATTCTGGAGCTTTCTACTCTGATCGAGGCTTACAATAAAAAGTAAACCTTATGCAATACACTCTAGAATATTCTTACATAATTAATACATCAATATTATACAGTATGTTACGTTTTTTGTGAAATCGGTTATTTTGCAAAATTACCAGCATGCATGCCGAGAATTTTGCAAAATAACCGATTTTGAGAAGAAGAAATAGGAACATATACACCAAAATTTCTCCAAATTTGCCAAAATAACTGCCGCATGGGACAGAAAACAATCAAAACACCTAGTTTACAAAATTATAATCCGAAATTATGCCTCGGCATAACAGTATGTAATCCATTAGAAGTTCCATCTGCTGTTACCGGAGGAGGTGGTGTGCTTCCATGAACACTAGGCTGCATTGAAGACAATAATTTGTTAAGAGTGTCACAATCGGTAATCATAATTGAATTAATATGTTCCTGGAGTATCTTAAGTTAACTTTTCCCATTACTGGAGAGCTGTCAATATATCTTTTGTCTTACAGTATATAAGCCATAAAGTTTATAAAGAACTAAAAAGATGTAAACCAGACTTGTTTCTGTATATCAATGATAAAATAGAAGTTTTGTTGACAATAAATAATATTGTTGTATTGTAGGATGGGGCCTCCGGTGCTGGGAGTGCAACAGTGCATTTGACCCTCGGTGTGGAGAGACCCACTTCGATTCCAGCACGTTGGACACTGTCGACTGTAACCAACTCGAGATAAGCCACCTGAACACTACTCCTATCTACTGCAGGAAGATCATTCAGAGAAGTGAGTCACATTTCATCTGGTTATCCTTATTTTATATTACACTATCATTTATCATGTCACCTGTTGTACTGTACCATGCATTTATTTTTCCAGTGCATCTATAATACTTGTATATTTTCTGGATCCTAATCTCAAAAAGTTGATTCATTACTTGAGTGACCACATTATAGGCTCAATCATGAAGGGGATTTCAGGATCAATTTTTCTGTTTATAAAATCTAAAACTTTCACTGGCAGCCCACATAGTGTACCATGTTATACCACTTGATGCACATATTAAATGATGACACTTCTCGTGACACAACGTACATTCACATCACATCATATCATATGTCATGTGACATCACTGTTCCTTCTGTCACATCACATCATTACAAATGTTAAAGTGAAATATTAGCCAGTGTACTAGATTTCATTTTATTTTATACACTGTATTGTTCAGCTATCAGAAATAAGACATGACTCATCTCCCACAGTTCAAGAAGAAGTGCGAACTGTGCGAGGGTGTGGCTGGCTTCAGGAGAAGAAGGTTCATGCAGGCGGCTGTTATACTAGGACTGGTACCAAGGACATCATGATAACCTACTGTCACTGTGAAGAGAACAATTGCAATTCGGGGAACTCCGTCTTGGTTTCTATGGGATTAGCTGCAGTACTCTTGGTGCTGACCAAAATTTTCTAGATATGGTAGAAGGTGGTCGATCTTCCAACAGTACCAAAGATGCTCTGTGAAGCAGTAATCAGTATAGTATCATCTACTTATAGTTGAAATATATGACAAACTAAAGTATTTTGTATTTAGAATTGATGTAAAAACCGATAAATTAATTTCACTGAAATTATTCATAATGTTATAGATATAATTGAATTAGAATAAACTTTGATAAACCAGGGTTCGCTGGGAAGACACTGTTCAGCAACAACTACTACCAACTTCTCACAGGGTACTATTTTACGACATCTATGATGCATCATGGTTATGTAGGTTATCATTATGCAAATGAGATCAAAATAGATGCCAAAAGCAAGTAATGTAATAAGAATGTGAACAAACATGAATGAAGGTGATTTATGTTGAGCCTCTGCCTTATACAGACAGTGGATGAAGCAAGTTTGCTGTAGAGTTCCACACTGCCTTTTGCACCTGTTAAACAGATTCTAAGCCCTTTGTGTCTTTATTGTTTGTTCCCCAACACTACATGAGATATGAGTCTGAACTGCAGAAATCCACACAAGTTAAACATCAGTACTGTCAACACAAATTCTTTCATGATGTACCTTCATGGTATAATATGCAAGTACAGTACAGTACAGTACAGTACAGTAATTTCACAGTTTAGACCTGCTTCTCCAGAGTGTTGTTCTTTATAAAATTTGAATCAGTGGAAGGTAATTGTATTCCAGACCTGGTTTTCTTGTTTTTCTCAATTTATAAATAACAAACATATTTTAATTATGATAGAATTCCAGTTACCTTCTTCTGACTCAACGAAATAGGTGTTTGCTTGGGTTCTGAGTCAGCACTCAGAATGTTGCATACTCACTGAGGTTTTTAGTGCAAATGATGGTAATATTCACAACTGTAGCATAATGTGTACATAGATAAGCAGTTTTGATGCTCTCACTCCTTCTGCTTTTAAGTGGAAAAGTATGCCTTGTAAAAAGCAAGTTCAAATTGTGCTTAGTAATGTAGAGACTGAGTCTGTACGATGTGGGCGCCATCTACAGAAGTTGTTGTAAGTGACTGTGGTCTTGAACACCACATGAGATTGAGGATCTGAGTGCATACTTAGATCCTCTGCAAATGGCACCATAGATTTTGTCCAATGAACAAATCTTTCGGGAGATGATGGTATGAACACTTTGTTACTCCTTAATGCTCTAAGTTGAGTTAGGGCCATATGGAGACCTTCATTTTGGTAGCAGAAGTTTTGGTGTGATCTGACAGGTTTTGACTAATGCCTTACTCCTTCACTCTTCATTTTGGTGAAACAGAGTAAGATACATTTAGTTTCTTCATAGCAAGTAATGCTTGCATACTTAGGTAATTTCTACAGCATACACCAATGAGAAATAGATGTCAGACTTTACATTGTAATACTCCACAATTGAAAAATTCCTTTATAAGTAGATGCTGCAATGTGAATTACCATTTCACAACAAACTATTAAACACCCATCTAATGTAACCTGCATTGACATTGCAAGTGGCCAACACTGATACATCCGCCTTTACCCTGGGAAAGGTTGATGAAGATTTCCACTTCATTTTCACTATATGTACTATTTGAGTGTGTTTTATTGTTTTCACACTGGACAGAAGATTTGGAATTGTGGTTGATTGCCGTAATTATCATGAAAATTATCACTTGAAAGTGAAATGTATGTCATTAATATATAGTACTTAATAATCACTTAACACTTCAAATAAATTTGGTAACTTTTTCACTTACATATAGTTCATACTACCCAACAATGCCTAATGTATACACTTCAACCCTAGCCACATTCTGTATTGAATTCTTCACTTGACGAGGTTGAACCAGTGTTTTTGTATCATCCATAACAGTAACGATTGAGAAGTAGCAGACTACAGTACACCGTGTACATAGGGTATTTTGTTGGTAACACTGTACAGCACTACTGATACATGCTCACTTCCATGTGGTCATAGTTTTATTACCAGCACATAACAAATATGCAAGAACATCAATCAGTTTTGCCAGCACCATCAGAGAAGATTACATGATTGGTGCATAAGTGTTGATGTGAGGAGAGTTCATGTGCTGCCATACACACTCTAGCATGACTGTGGGGTACATTAAGCAGGGTGCAACATTTATTTTATCTAGAATTTATGTTATGTAGTAATGTCTATGAGAAACAGCTGACAATGAGCTCTGTTATTGACCAAAATCTCAATGCAGTATACTATATATATATATATATATATATATATATATATATATATATATATATATATATATATATATATATATATATATATATATATATATATATATATATATATATATATATATATATATATAGTTTGTGTGTGTGTGTGTGTTAGGTCAGCAACTTAAGGAAATGTGTATATTTTGAGAATATCATGAAAATTCATTACCAAGTAATATATTATAGTGACTGACCAAGAAGATTAAACTTGAGAAAATGTACATAGATCTGTAATTATACATACTGTATTAAACAAAATCTTTCAGTTATGAAAATGTGAAATTTTAGTTTTAAACGTTGCATATATCACTAACAACAAATAATTTTTGTATCTAGTTTATTTCTATACCCTTTTCAATCATGAAACACTCATAATATGTAAGAAAATAAACAATAAAGATTGTAAGCATTACATTCCAGAGGCTTAAATTGTGTTTTTGGTTTATAGTATAGCATGTTCCCTTTCAAAGCCATGCATAATTAATTTCCTGCATGAATTTAACAAAGACATAGTATGAAAATCAAAGCTATAAAAATTTATTATAATACAGTATTAGATATCTGCTTTTTTAACATGTTAAATTCAACAGGTAGCATCACTTTGTAAAAGATAAGTGGCAACAGCGTCATGTGGCCTCTCATTTCGTTTTAACACAAATAAATGTCATATTTATTAACATTTTGCTACCTTTCATATCTCATTGACCAAACTTAAAACCACTCTCGAACTATCCAGACACACACTGTTAATAGACACAATCTTTATGATTTAATGTTTTAGATATCTTGGATATCAATTCAGTACAGTACAGGTACTTCCATTATCCAAGACCCTGTTAAATAGAACCTTGATTTTTCCAGTCACATAGCACATATTTGCCTCTTTATTTATATATATATATATATATATATATATATATATATATATATATATATATATATATATATATATATATATATATATATATATATATATATATATATATATATATATATATATATATATACACATACACAAATATAGCAGGATCCTATTAGTGAGATACTGAATAATAAAGATATTAGTGTGCCATGTATAAGTGTTCAGTGTTTCATTTGCCAATCAATCACATAGTTATCTGGGTCTGATTTAGCAACATTGTTACTGCTGTCTGAGAGGTGCACATACTGTCTGTACTGTATGGTACTTCTGTCGACCTGAACAACTGAACAAGAGCAGTCTTTTATTATATATAAAATTAAAATTATGCCGGAGCTGATCTTATCAACATTTTCTTTAACAAATTTTCAATGGACTGCTTCATACTCCTAAAGCGATAGGTTTGTCTTTATTCTCGTTTTGCAGAGACCACTGCTGATGTTCTTGAATCTGATAATTGACATTGTGAAATCTTCTTTTATGACTTCACTATCTGTTCAAAATTACACGTGTTTATGCGAGTATCTATCTTCCAATGCACAGAGTGATTGCAATAAAACTGATAATTTGGTTTAATGAATTTGGGACCAATGAAACAATAGTAGTACTTTGTTGGTAATTGTTCAAAATATTTATTGAGTTCCAGAGCACAGTCTTGTATAGTAATTAATATTATTTTAATTGTAAAACTATAAAACCATATTTACTGTATCGTATCTCTATTTAATAAACCCCAAAAATGGCTGATGTAATAATGAATTTGATCCAGTTTTTGAAGGTTAGAGTAAGAGTAAAATCTATTAAACTGAAAGAGAGTGACACTGATTTTAAAACACTGCAGTGGTTCTGGCAAGAATAAAGAATGATTTGAACAGAACTAAATTTGAAATATACAAAATCTGTACCTTCAAAGAGCACTATGCACTTGCCCACGTCATCTTGGTAATTTAAATACATGTATCTTGATCAGTGTGGTAATATCATGAATAAATGATTATCGTTACTGTAATTTGCTAGGAACCATTTCTAGTATACTCGTATAAAGTTATGCAACAGTACGTATCACTTGTGAGCAGTGCGCAGCATCTAGCAGTTATAGGGCATGTCATGCAAAACATTAGTATTCTAAATCGACTTGTTTGTAATAGTCGTTGAGTAACAGTAAAGTTTACATTAATAAAGACCTGAACACTTGTAATTGTACAGCTGTTCAAATATAACAAATGTCTTCTTATCCACTGGCATCTCATGCTCACTGCTCTACCACGAACATAATTAAGGAAAGCATAATTTTGTTCATGGTTTGCAAAGGATAATGAAAGAGTCTACATAATTATATAATATGTATTTTTCTTCACTGTTAATGATATACTGCTCCTGCTGCATATCATCAGTTATTTCCAGGAATTATAAAACCAACAGACTATTCAAAAGCTCCATATGATTTTTATTAATTTTATTGTTATTGTTATTATTAATGTTATTTTATTATGATATATTCGCCCCCCAGGCTTTGATGTGAGTCATTATAAAATGACCTGTGCCCGGGTGGGCTATTGCCCGTAAAAAATATATAAAAAATACTGTACATATGATATTTATGTTCAGTAGAATATTCGTATGTATCTTTTATCTGAAATTTGAGTTTTCATGTAGTAATTTAAGGTGATTAGAAAATAATCCTCAATTTCGGTCATAACAGATACTGTATTATAAGTAAACTAGTTAAGTTAAACTGAGCGTGTGAGAACATTGGAACTATTATAACAGGAAGATGTCCGACATGTCTTCAAATGGTTGCTCACTTTGTGGGCCTATAAACTCCAGCCACATTCATATACAGTACTGCATATCATTGGACATAGCGGGCAAGACGGTTCACTCCATGGGACGGCGGGGCACCCTCACCTGGGTGGGGTCGCCTCCAAGCACTTCCCAGGTAGGGTGAGACTGCCGGGACACTCCCTGGAACGACTGGGCCCCAGGGACCCTCCCAGGGACGACGGCACCTCTAGGAGCCCTCCTAGTGGCGGTGGCACACCCCGGGGCCTTCTCAAAGGAGGCGGCGCCACCAAGATCCTTCCCAGCGGTGGCATCGCCCATAGGGGCCCTCCCATTGACGGTAGCGCCCCCAGCGACCCTCTCAGGGGCGTTAGTGCCTCCAGGGACCCTCCCATGGGCTCTGGCGCCCTAGGAAACTTGGAAAGACGTTTAGTATTATATTTCATCACAGAAGACGGATGGGGGTAACTATTATATTTGAACACAGAAAATTGAGAGGGTTTTAGGGGTGACCATTATATTTGATCACAATGTGACAGGGGATAATTATAATAATCATTCAGATAATTAGTATGCATGAATGTTTATTCTTTCTGATAATACAAATAATTAGTAAATATAAAGTAGAGTATGGTGTTAAAAGCTTATTTGATTATTCATGTAATGAATGAAGTAATTACATAAGATCATGCAACTCGTTAAAACTGATGACATTCACAATGATATAAGTAACATAGGTTTCAGGGGGCAGGGTTGGGGACAGGTGGCGAAAATTAACCACCCCTCCAACTTTGTTCCTTCCCTCTAGCTTTCGATCTTTCCTTCTCCGTTTTGATGAGAGGAAGAAGAAGAAGAAGAATAAAGAATAAAAAGGTTTTGATGAGAGGAAGAAGAAGAATAAGGTTTTGATGAGAGGAAGGTTTTAGGGGTAACTATTATTTTTCATCATAGAAAACGGTTTAGGGGTAACTATTATATTTGAACACAGAAAATTGAGAGGGTTTTAGGGGTGACCATTATATTTGATCACAATGTGACAGGGGATAATTATAATAATCATTCAGATAATTAGTATGCATGAATGTTTATTCTTTCTGATAATACAAATAATTAGTAAATATAAAGTAGAGTATGGTGTTAAAAGCTTATTTGATTATTCATGTAATGAATGAAGTAATTACATAAGATCATGCAACTCGTTAAAACTGATGACATTCACAATGATATAAGTAACATAGGTTTCAGGGGGCAGGGTTGGGGACAGGTGGCGAAAATTAACCACCCCTCCAACTTTGTTCCTTCCCTCTAGCTTTCGATCTTTCCTTCTCCGTTTTGATGAGAGGAAGAAGAAGAATAAGAATAAAGAATAAAAAGGTTTTGATGAGAGGAAGAAGAAGAATAAGGTTTTGATGAGAGGAAGGTTTTAGGGGTAACTATTATTTTTCATCATCATAGAAAACGGTTTAGGGGTAACTATTATATTTGAACACAGAAAATTGAGAGGGTTTTAGGGGTGACCATTATATTTGATCACAATGTGACAGGGGATAATTATAATAATCATTCAGATAATTAGTATGCATGAATGTTTATTCTTTCTGATAATACAAATAATTAGTAAATATAAAGTAGAGTATGGTGTTAAAAGCTTATTTGATTATTCATGTAATGAATGAAGTAATTACATAAGATCATGCAACTCGTTAAAACTGATGACATTCACAATGATATAAGTAACATAGGTTTCAGGGGGCAGGGTTGGGGACAGGTGGCGAAAATTAACCACCCCTCCAACTTTGTTCCTTCCCTCTAGCTTTCGATCTTTCCTTCTCCGTTTTGATGAGAGGAAGAAGAAGAAGAAGAATAAAGAATAAAGAATAAAAAGGTTTTGATGAGAGGAAGAAGAAGAATAAGGTTTTGATGAGAGGAAGGTTTTAGGGGTAACTATTATTTTTCATCATAGAAAACGGTTTAGGGGTAACTATTATATTTGAACACAGAAAATTGAGAGGGTTTTAGGGGTGACCATTATATTTGATCACAATGTGACAGGGGATAATTATAATAATCATTCAGATAATTAGTATGCATGAATGTTTATTCTTTCTGATAATACAAATAATTAGTAAATATAAAGTAGAGTATGGTGTTAAAAGCTTATTTGATTATTCATGTAATGAATGAAGTAATTACATAAGATCATGCAACTCGTTAAAACTGATGACATTCACAATGATATAAGTAACATAGGTTTCAGGGGGCAGGGTTGGGGACAGGTGGCGAAAATTAACCACCCCTCCAACTTTGTTCCTTCCCTCTAGCTTTCGATCTTTCCTTCTCCGTTTTGATGAGAGGAAGAAGAAGAAGAAGAATAAAGAATAAAGAATAAAAAGGTTTTGATGAGAGGAAGAAGAAGAATAAGGTTTTGATGAGAGGAAGGTTTTAGGGGTAACTATTATTTTTCATCATAGAAAACGGTTTAGGGGTAACTATTATATTTGAACACAGAAAATTGAGAGGGTTTTAGGGGTGACCATTATATTTGATCACAATGTGACAGGGGATAATTATAATAATCATTCAGATAATTAGTATGCATGAATGTTTATTCTTTCTGATAATACAAATAATTAGTAAATATAAAGTAGAGTATGGTGTTAAAAGCTTATTTGATTATTCATGTAATGAATGAAGTAATTACATAAGATCATGCAACTCGTTAAAACTGATGACATTCACAATGATATAAGTAACATAGGTTTCAGGGGGCAGGGTTGGGGACAGGTGGCGAAAATTAACCACCCCTCCAACTTTGTTCCTTCCCTCTAGCTTTCGATCTTTCCTTCTCCGTTTTGATGAGAGGAAGAAGAAGAAGAAGAATAAAGAATAAAAAGGTTTTGATGAGAGGAAGAAGAAGAATAAGGTTTTGATGAGAGGAAGGTTTTAGGGGTAACTATTATTTTTCATCATAGAAAACGGTTTAGGGGTAACTATTATATTTGAACACAGAAAATTGAGAGGGTTTTAGGGGTGACCATTATATTTGATCACAATGTGACAGGGGATAATTATAATAATCATTCAGATAATTAGTATGCATGAATGTTTATTCTTTCTGATAATACAAATAATTAGTAAATATAAAGTAGAGTATGGTGTTAAAAGCTTATTTGATTATTCATGTAATGAATGAAGTAATTACATAAGATCATGCAACTCGTTAAAACTGATGACATTCACAATGATATAAGTAACATAGGTTTCAGGGGGCAGGGTTGGGGACAGGTG